ATGGGAAATTTTCTGATTTTTTCTACAGATTTTCCTGGCACTTTGTTCTGTTGAATCAATTCACAAAATTCTACCCAAATAACAAACAGATCATTATTCCTTTAGGACACTTTTTCAGAAAATTTCCTACCTCCTGGGAAACCACCTGCCCAGCTACATACTCAGGGTTCATGAATCAGCTTTCCTGAAATGTTTGTGGTAAAAATTAATGCTATAAACCTGCATACAAAATATTTTGTATATTTGCTTAGACAAACACAACTCAGGTAAATATAAATGAGAAATATAGTCCTTAGATGGAAACCTAGAAGGACAAGGCACAAGGAAGAATCGAACAGCTGAAGGAGAGAGCTATCGCATTTCCCCAGAGTGTCCATGCACAGACACATTAGGAAAAAGCAATTGATATTTGATCTGGAAAGGAAAAATTACTCAGACTGTCAAAACAGAATTCAGTCCACAGTTTAGGAAGAGGGGTGTTAGACTATGCTACAGCAGGCAGGGAATAAATAAACTGAAAAGCAGAACTGGACGTGAAAGAGATTTTCACTGATCTCTGTGTTGGGGAAATGGATCCTGAGGACAAAGATTAAGAGATATAGCAGGGGATCTAAAGAATCACTTTAGGAAACCTAACTTAAGATTAGTGAGGCTTTCAGGAGAACAACACTAGCTCTCACATAACCTCCCAAATAATTTCTACTTTAAGACATGTTGACCAAAAGGCACATATCCAAAGTCCTTATTTAGGCCCAAAAGATGCCCAATGTTTTTCTGGAAACTCTTAAAAGTCCTCTTCCTATTCAAGTAATTCAAGCTGTGTGCTTGCAAAACCTTTTGAAAATCAGGCCATTTCTCTCCAGGTTCCTACACACAGACAATATCTGAATTTGGCCAGATTTTCTAAACTCAAACATGTATTCTTGGTATCACTGATCTTTGAGTTTCTCATCTAAACCTGAGCCCATGCAAAAATGACAGGCTCTTTCCTGAAAGATTCCCATCCAACACTAAAGGAAACTAGCCAAAGGAAGGACAGTATGATTTGCCATATTCCTATTAAAAAAATGAAGAGAGGGAACAAACCAATCTGTCTGTGGCAATGCAGGATGTTTGTAGTAAACAGGCCAGCTGAGACTCCTGAGTTTCAGATATGTACCTTCCTTTCCTCAGAATATTATGCTGTAAATGTCTCCATTGCAAGGATGAGTCTATTTGTATAGGAAATCTGGGCTAAAATATGGTACCATGGGCCTACTGGGTGGATTCTGTGAATAAGAAATCTTAATTAAGTGGAGGAGAGTATTTAATAACCTTGGAGCAGGCAGTAGGACTAAAACCAGTATCTCTCCTTTACAGCTAGCTACATGTCACCCACTCACAACAGGCAAGGAAAGGAAGAGAAATTCCTGTTTTAAACAGAAGGAACAAATCAGAAAAAAAAATATGTTTGCTGTAGAGCTTAAGAGAGTTGCAGATCAACACGCTCTAAAGTCCCTGTCTAATTCATGTTGGTGTTAATGTGCAAGTGCAATAAATTTTTTTTCTTTTTAAGCCAGAAAGGACTTTAAATATTTTAGAAAGTCATGTTAATGGATGTGCAAGCCATAACAACAAATTTAGAAAGGAATTTTAAATTCAGAGCCAGCAGATTTTTGTGGAGGGAGTTAGCTCTAGAGAAAGAGCTACGTGCCATGGAAATTGATTTGCCATCCTTTTCAGACTGATATAATTTCATAGTCTAGAATAGGGCAAATATTTACAAGGAAACAAACTCTGAAGTGGCAGAAAGTCCAGCTAGCTGTGCTACCAGTAGTTTGGATTTCTACTTTTGCATAACAGAGGGAGAAAAGATGTTGTATAGCTTGGGTTAGTTATCTCATGGTTACGGCATAACGAGAAGGTGTAGGGAGTACTATGCTTTATTCGTGAGAATTAGTTGTACATTTTATACTGAAGAGTCTACTTAAAGCAGAAATTATGTTGGGCCCAGGAGAATACCTGAGCATGGTATTCCTCCATCCTGGATGACTTCCCTTGCCACCAGCAATTGCTGAGTGAGGCTTCTTGGACTTATTCTCCCCAGACCCAGCAACTTTTCATGCCTTCCCATGCAGTGAACTGAGTCAGTGGGAGAGTGTGACTCTCACATCCAGTGCAGTCACAATTAGGTGGTTAGGTTTTTCACTAGGACTCTAGGCAAAAACTACAGGCTTTACAGTGTAGAACTGCAGCCTCTTCAACTTGGGTCTAGGTTTGAAGCAACAAAAATCTGCAGAACAAGATTCAGGAGGGATCTGAGCTCTCTAAGCCCCTGTTCATTACCAGCTTCTTGTCTGGAGAGCCCTCTGTTGTAGACTGGACACTCTTCAGGACAGACACTCTCTTATTTTGTCCGTATATCAGGTCTAGAACAAAAGTATGTGATGCTGACTGGGATCAACAGGCTTTATGGAAATACAAGCAGAAACGAGCATTCTGCAAACTTGAAAGGAGGAAAATAGTGTATAGAGACATAATAGATGCAAGAAAACATGTATTTTCATCAACTACAAGAAAAAATAAAGGACAAAATTTTGGCTTATCAGTCAGATTAAGATGACTTGGAAGACAGCATAATCTGCCAGTGTCTGACATTCAAAAAGTCATACCTGTCTGAGATGCACAGTGCATGGAAAGGATGATACTGTAATCATAAAGAATAAATATTTAATCTCTGCCAGGATTTACTCTGAGCTATTTAAACACAGCATGCAAAAAGCTATCGTCGTTTAACTGCTTTCTGATTGTTTTGGTACATCTGAGATTTTATTTTGGAATGCATAGCCTTTGCATACTTACCATTAAACCTGAAGATTGCTGAAGTGGTTTCTTTTTGACCATTTTTGGAATGGTATGGGAGTGTTTTAGTGATCTGAATTTATAAGTCCAGCACACTGGTGTGATGTACTTAAAATCTTTGGTACCTGAGTAAAACTCATTAGAGTAAAAATGGTAAAAGAGAGGGAACAATCCCTAAGCAAACACCTCGTGATTCCTGGAGATAGATGCCTCTTCTCAAGTTTCTACTGGGAGTTGCTGAAGAGAATTACCCTGTTCTGAGGGAAGAGGAAGGAGAGACAGAGACAGAACTGTCCAACAGTACTCGCAAGCTAAAAAGGACATCCAGAACACCGCCAGTAACTAAAGGTGGATGTTTTCACAGCTTTTAAGTAAGATAACCTATGATCTACTGTAGCCTTCAGCACAACCCACTGGATTGCTACATCAGTTTGAATTGTTTGTGAAAAGACCAAAAGCAGACTTTTTACCTGTCTAATACTTATTTAAAACAGTCTACTGGACTCACTACCTGCTCTTTTCTTTTCCTTAGTGTCCGACATGTACTTCATTTTCAGTTTGGTTAGTCCTCTGCTGTAGGCCCTGGATGCTGCTGTCTCTGATCCACTAGGGAAAATGTCCTAAGGTATCGCTGTGGAGAGTTCCTTAATCAGAGGGACATCAAGGCACATGCTCCACTGCCTTTGGGTAGCCGATAAAATGTTCTGTGCAGTCACATACTCTTCTCATCTTCTAGGTACTTTCAGAATATAATGCAATTATATATGGTTCAGAATTCTCTTTCCTAATAAAAAAGAATTTGATTTAAAAAATCTTTGACCCAAATGTAAAAAAAATTACAATTCCTATCTTTTACAAATAAATTGGTTAATATGAGAGCTAACCTTCAGTTGAATTGTGAAACTGAAACTGTTTTTATAAAGTTAAAATATCAAAGAAAACCACACATCTATTTTCAGAGGTGCCAAGAGGGAACACTCTTACTGAAGTCTTTTGCTTAAAGATTCTACATAAGTAGAGTATCCTCACAGTTTCTTTACATCTGACATAAAAATATTTAAGACCCTATTTTTTATAAATTATGAAGAAGACTTGTGGCATTTACTCCATTAACATTAGACATTAAAATAACTCCTTAGCTCCTTTTTATTTAATAAACTTAGGAGGAAGATTACTTGATAATTGGGTGTTTTCCCAAATGGCATGTGTGCTATCTGGATCTAGAAAATGACATTTTCTTTTCTGGCTTGCAGCATACCCTCAAAATGCTGCAGCAGAAGAGCTGACCAACAATGGGAAAAGGTTTCATAACATGTGTGCTCTGGCTGTGCATGCCCAGGAAAACCACTGTCTGTGCATGCACTGCGTGCACGCCGATTTTCAACACCAGTGCTGAAGTGTCTTTCCTGGCCCCTCCAGCAAGCCCTGACATCTCTAGCATGATTTCCCTTGATCTGAAGGCATGTCCGCACACCTCTGAGAAGCAAGGACAACCAGCAAGTTAGGGCTGAACTGTGGCCTCAAGAGTCTACACGACAGCATGAAAATGACCATTGCATAAGCTGCCAGAATTACAGGATAAATTATCTGTAGCCAGAGTTTCAGGTGACCTAGTCCTGAAGGTTCTGTAAGGGCTTTTTTGAGTCATCTGCATTGTCTCTGCAGCTTGGGAAAGAGCCTGAGCGGGGCAGGCTCTGCCTCTTAATCCGATAAAGTCAAGGTCAACCATAAATACACATACTTAATGAACAGCATCTAGGCTTTTTCTTACGTCACTTATCGTTTCATCCCTTTCCCAAAGTGCTAATGAACCAGGAAGGCAGAGGCCTTGCTTTTCGTTATGTTTCTGCATGCTTTATTCCCTGCTTATATTCCCTGTGTGCGCAGGAACTGTTTGTAACTCTGAGTGAACCTTACTTCTGAGCCTGAGTAAGCCTGCTCTGCACCAAGTGTATCCCCAGTACTACACTGGGTAAACTCTCACGCTGCAGCCTGAGTAGGAAAAGAGGTAACTGTGGTCCTACTACCTGTGCCCTGTCACCTGTTCTGAGGGGATAACCCAGGATTTGGGTTGTCCACAATTATTCTGCCATCTAAAATCTATACATTCCCCGGGGTGTATGCTCCCCGTAGGGTGTATAATTCACAGATTTCCTTTCAAGTCCCTTCCAGGGACTGGCTTGACAAACCTCAAGCTGTACCGAGAAGCAGCCGGGTTGGTGTGGCATGGCAGCTGCCTCCTCTGCATTTCCTTTATTTATTCTCCCTTTCACAAGCCGTGCCCAGAAATCCATCACCTTCCCACTGCCTCCTATGCGTGTGTTTGTCCCCGCTTTCCCTGCCGTTTCCTCCCGTCGGGTACGCGGGGAGGTATCCCAGAGAACCCCCACTCGGGGATTTCCTCTTCTGGTAGAAGGGTGAAACTCACCCGCGGTGTACTGAAGCGCGCACCCACTCTCCACTCTCGGCATCTTTGGATAGGCCTCACTTCGCGTACCGCTGAGCTGAGCGCCCACGCGTTTTTCATATCGAATATTGTTGTTGTCACCGATAGCGCTAATTGCAGTTAAGCCCCATTAGTGACAGCGCTCCCTGGACACGCGCCGGGAGAGGCGAGCTGATCCTCTCGGGCAGCTCC